ACTTCGTATAATAGCAACATATCTACCCTGCAATAACAAACAACTCAACAACTTAACCCAATCTAAAATAATAGAATGAGCAGAACAAGCCAATAAACAAAAGATCAAACCGATCATCCTTGGAGACTTTAACCTTGATCTCAACAAAAAACACATACATAACACTCTAATACAATACTTAAAAAATACAAATATGCTATCATTAATTAACACTTTACTACCAAACCAACCTACATGGAACTCCCAATGAACTAGCAGCCAAATAGACGAGATATGGATCTCTAAAAACTCAATAGAAAACTTTCACAACCCAATACTCAAAGAGGCTACACAGATTACAAATAATGATCACAAAATAATTTTCACATCAATCAATATACCATATATACACAAAAGAAGCAAAAACAAAACAAAAAGAACAATTTACAACTATGATATGATGAATACAGAAATATGGAAACAATTTGCGAACACAATTAAAGCAAAACTTGCACAATCAAAAACAGATTCACTAAGCCCTAATATAAAAAACCTCAACAAAACATGGCATTTATTAGCAAACTGCATTAAACAAAGTGCAAACAAACATATCACATATACACACAAAGCAACACAAAGTAGCAACCATCTATTCTCACCTACAGCCACCAAATTACACAAGGCACTGATATACATAAACAAGGCATGAAGATATATAAGCATACACAAACAAGCAACAAATATGGAACGAATACACAACTTTATACAACAAACCAACAATCTATCTAATATACAAATACAAACACAACTTAACACAACAATAGAAGAAATAGATTCAATACTCAAGACAACCCAACAACAAATCAAAACAGCTAGGAATATAGAAAACCAAACAGCGAAAAACCTATATATAAAGAATTGTATTGAACGCAGATACCAAAACTTCTAAAACAATACATCTAAAATGATAAAAAGTGTACTTAAAAAACACACAGACCCTGTAATATTACACAATATCCGAACACCTAACAATATAATCACAGAACCCCAGGAGATCAAAACTGCAATACAGGAACATTTCAAACACTGGACAAAATCAAACCCAACTCAAACAGAACTATGGAAAGAATGGGCAGACGAATACAAACCAATTCAAACAATAGACCCAATATAGTATAATACAATTATGACAAAGATCACACCCTCTGAACTAAAGACGATAATCAAAGAAGCACCCAACATAAAGGCTACTGGGCCCTCAAAAATATCAAATGAAATGTTAAAACATTTAGGCCCAAAGCGAAAGCCACAATTTTAAATCTACTAAACAATTGTCTAATATACATAACATGCTAACTGCATGGAAATATAGTACAATATACCCCATATCAAAAAAATCAACATTCACAGGAGATCTAAACCAAACATGCCCAATTACACAAATCGAACATACTAGAAAAATCCTTACAAAAATTATTGTATGAAGACTTAATCCCATCCTATCCAAATACAACATATTAAATCCTAACAACTATGTGGTCCTAGCAAACACCTCCATCGCAACACCAATACATACACTTCAACATATAATAAAAGATGCTCAAACAAACAAAAAAGAACTATAGTTGTTATCGCAGAATATGAGCAAAGCTTATGACTTGGTACATATACCACTTTTAATCAAAGCACTACATCGCATCAAAATATCAGAACCTATAACAAACATCATAAACAATATACTATCTCATAGACACAATAATGTTATTACAAACCACGGACTAACCAACAACTATCATGTTTAAGATGTAATAGATCAAGGAGAAACTATAACCTCACTACTATGGAGGATATATTATGACCCCTTGTTAACTCGAATCAACAGAAACCACCCAACATATACAATGAACACAACAACACTACAACTAACACACACACATACAACACACATGCCTCAGCAAACAACAAAACATACTTGCATACATAGACAATATGTTATAGATAGCAGAAAACAAACCAAACCTACAAATACTAATCGATACAGCTAATTCCTTTTACAAAATGACAGAAATCACAGTCAACCTACACAAATTTATATTAGCCACCAACTACAAACCAAAAAACAAAGAGGAACTCGTATACATCACATTCAATAATACTAATATATATCCAATATCACCTAAACACTGCTTCTGATTCCTTGGATATTGTTACAATATTCACACTAACAAAGCAACAATACAACAAAACATAACAAAAGAAATCAAAGAAGCCTTAAAGCTACTCCACAAATCAACAATCACAGAGAAACAAGTGATATATATAATCAATACAGTCATTTTAACACATTTCGAATACCGAACACAAAATTATATATATGCCCAACCACAATGTGATAAACTTACAATAGAGATTGGAACCGGTTATTGTTTTACTAACTGGTTTTAACAACTTTTTAAAAATCACAACCAAATTTAATCTGGTTATGCTATATCCGAATAAAACTGGTTAATTGGTTGATACAACCGGTTAAATTTGATTAATTGATTGTATCAACCGGTTAAATTCAATTAATCGGTTGATACAACCGGTTAAATCTGATTAATCAGTTGTATCAACCGGTTAAATTCGATTAATCTAGATTAGTGTTAGATTTCAGAATTAATAACCAGATAGACGTATTTATTATTTCTTAATAAGTAATCTATAAATCTTATTTTTTTAAAAGTATATACTTATTAAATAATCGCTTACTAGTAGATATTTATTAATTTCGAAATAAGTTAATCTGAACCTCCCTGATTTTTTTGAAGTAAAAAGTTAAAAGGTTTGAATACTGTAAATTATTTTTAAGAATGCTGAATTGGCGATCTTTATGCACTTAAGGAAATAGAAATAAAGTAGCTTTTACTATACAGTGTTGCATACAATATTCTAACATTTTTAAAAAAATATCCCGGTATTAATCAAGAAGCTGAACCAATGATCCTGTTATATGATCCCCTTGTATAGTGTTCTCTTCTTCACACAGTACCCCTGGGGTATTATTCAATTAATCTTGGCATTTTTGAAAAAGACCGAGGTACTAATACGGCAATTATCTATGGACATGATAAATTAAGATAGTATATTGTGTAACTCACTATGAACTTGAATGGCTTAAATATGTACATTGTAATAGTAAGCATGTACATACATAAGTTAATCAATTAATAGTCTTTCACCAATCTGCTAAATTAGGCAGCCAGAAATAATTGTCAAGGAGTAAGTTATTAGTCTTACAAAGAGTAATTTTCAATCAGAAAGTTTATTGTTACTTTTATTAAGATAAAACGGATGTATAATAGGAAAATTCAGGTTAATTGGTGACAAAGGCAGTATGAATAAACTATCCTAATAAATTATCTTTTATACCAATTAACAAGGCTCGGAATTAGTTCAGTACAAGAAGATAAAATAGCTAGATGTTAGATAAACAATATGTATTATTTAATCTAAAGTGTTTATAGATAAAATTCTATTTCAATGATACACGAGTGGATAATCTGATTAGTTGGCTGGTTAGTGAGCGTGGTAGCATGTACTAAAATGTCACAAAACTTAAATACTATATTCTCTAATTGAACTGATTTTTTATACAAATAATATAGTACTCTAATTTCCTGTATTTACTCATTATAGGGCTACCTGTCTCACGCTTAGATTCTAATATTTTCAGACTTATGATTGCGTATCAGAACCTCTTGAATTTAATAAACTCCAGGTTAAATGTTTTTCTTATTAATACTTAAATACTATATAACTACTATTACCAGATGAGTTATACCCGTATGATAGCTGGTTATATTAATTTGCTTTAACATTAAAACTTCAATTAAGTAACAAATTCAAATTATGGCAATAGTTAGAAGTAAACTTTGGTATTGTTACGACCAAGGGAGAGTCTTATATCGATCCGGCCAATTTAGCAAAGGGTCGTAATCATTAACAAGGATAAAACTAATATTGTATTCGCACACAAAGGCACCAAAATATAATAATGGATATTTCTTTATAGTGTCCCAGACACTGACAATACTAATACTTTTATTTATTCTTCTACTTAGAAAGTTCCAAACTTACTATTCCTTCTACTCTCGTATCAAACTATTCAAGAGAGAACCAACTCACAACCTTCTAAAGAACTAACTAACTAGCTAACGTTCTATCTATTCTACTTATATAGTTACTATTAGACTACAAATAGACTACATACTACTTACAGTATAATTAAAATATGCTTTACATTGATAAACTACGCATAAGCTATTAATAAATATTTTACAAAGTATATTTAAAAGTATATGCAAAGTATCTAAGAGTATAATGGTTACACAAAAAAAGTTTAAGTGTGAAACTTTCTTTGCATAACAGTATCTATTGTAAGTCTCTTATGTATTTTGAAAATATAGAAGTGCTGTCTTTTCGCTCTTCTCATAAAGCTTTAGACTTCGATGTCTTAGTTATATAAAGAATATAAAAAATCGATTTCTCAATTATTGTTATAAGTTTAGAGACGTATTTAGTGTTTTATTATTTCTAACCGTTAAGATTCTTACCAATTATATTATTCTTTTTCACTGGTAAATTTTAAAAAATTCGACGCGTTGAATGGCATCATTCAACTGCTATTCAATGCATCGAATTTTTTAAAATTTATCAGTGTTTGTTCTTACTCTTTTTGTTAATACCCTATTACCAACCCTCGATATTAATATTACTGATTAACTGCCATAATTATTGATCCAATTGTGGTAATGTAATCTAATTAATTATTTACCTAATCTATTACTGGTAGACATAATTAAGTGTCTCAATCACAGTCAGATTAATTACGTAACACCATGTGCCAAAGTTATTATTGTTCTAATACAAATAACATAAATTGTGCTGATAGTTTTATAAGCTCTCCCAATATAATAGTAACACTAGGTTTTATATATATGATTACTTACGATTTGTGATTATTTATGCACATAACTTGTTCACTATTTCACTAGTATATTGCAAAAAAATCCTCAATACTATTGGCCACCGCTTACAATATCCCCCAAATAATATCTATTATTAAAATCCAAGTATTGTAGGTAGTGGCCAACAGTAATCAAGTTAAAACCTTTATTTATATTAATAAGTAGTTGTGATTACATTATAATCAATAAAAATAAACCATCAGATTAAACTATCCTTCTTGTGGTGGAAATATATCAAAATAAACACCATTTCATTTTAAAAATAAAACTTTATTCACTAAATCTGGTGATAATCAGGTCCGCTTTGCTGAAATATGATTGCCAGCATCGGAAAACAATCTTTCGCTTGGCACAGAAGTAACTGGAATGGAGAGGTATTTACGTGCTAATTGGGTCAAAATAGGCAAACTACCTCTATTTTTTAACCACCATCCTAAAGAATTATCGTTGACCTTAATTTCCTTTAATTTTTTATAGCGTGTTACCTCATCCTCTTCTTCTGAGTTTGTTTGTATAGAATTCGTTTCTAATTCATTAAAAAAGTCATCATTATCTTCATAATCCTTATCCACAAAACTTTCTTCAATATCATCTGGAATAGTAAGCTTGATTTTTAATTTATCATATAAGGTCTTTACTAGGTTCTGTGCTCTTTCTTTTTCATTGTTTGTTGCCCAATTAAAATGTTTAAACCTTGGATCAAGGTATGTAGCAACTAGGGCAAGGTCAGTTGGAACTGCCCATAATTCATCCATTAATAGATAAATTGCAGCCCGGACTTTATCAAGCAGACCAATAGTAGAAACTGAAGGTAAATATTCTATTTGATTTGTATCATCTAACTCAGTAACTTGTTTTATATTATCTGGTCTGGTGTTTTTAGAACGTACTTGCATTTTTCTATTCTGCTCCTGACTTTGACATCGAGCAACTATCCTTTGATGAAATTGTCTATGTGCATATTGCCACTGTTGACGAGTACCAGCAGTAGGTATATCATCATCAGATATTTCATCATTTGCATTCTCATCATCTTGTGCTTCACTATAAATAAGATTTAAATAGGTATCAACTGTCTCTCATGGCTTTGGCCAAACCTCTTCTTAAGCAATTCTATATATGAATAAACAAGGTTAAGAGTTGAATATTTAGCACCACTCAAACGTCGAGTCACAATTTCAAATGGTTCTAACAAATTAACCATATCTTGTAAGTATCTATATAAAAGAAAAAACTTATTAAAATCTTAATATAAAGTAATTTAAATAAATAAAATATATAAAATGAGCTCTTGTTATACAATAAATAAATAATATACAGTCAGACCTCTCTAATACTACCCTTAAGTGCATATTCTATAAAACACCTCCCTAAATGCATGTCTTCTTTTGAGTCCAACTAATATTAAATCTATAGATTTTTACCTCCCTAAATCCAATACCTCTCTAAGTGCATATTTGACTAAATTTTTGTATGTAGTCCCATCACATTGCATTTAGAGAGGTCTGACTGTATAAAGTAAAATCTTATTATCAAATAATTTAAATAAATAGTATATAAAGTAAAAAATACTAAGTTTTTTAAAATATATGGGCTAGGTGTTAGAAAAAGGGCCGAAAATGATAATTTTTTCAAGATTAGTATCATTTTTTACTTAAGATACAAAAGTAGTTGTATTAATAAAGGTTTGTAATATAGCTTTTTAAAAGTTGTATTTTCTTATAATTTATTATAAGATTTATAATATAAAAATTGATTCTCTGGAAAAAACTCTTTCTGCTTATCATTTGTACACAAAATTTCGTCACAATAATTTTCACGTTTTTCTCAATTTACGAAAA